CATAGAAGGAACAAACGCAATTTAATTAGTATTGGTGTTTTTTGTTTCACCTGGTGTTAGAAATGTATACAGTATGATACAAATGTTTGGAAGATTTTCGTTATTTCGGAAACAGGCAGATTTAAAGAAGAATGCAAATAGAACAGTTCAAATTGTGAAATTTGAAATGTTTGATCCAGTGGCGTACAAAATGTGGTGAAAATTGTCAGTAACCTTGATAGCACGCCACTGTTTAAGGTTTTTGTAGTCAAAATACTTTCTTAAAAAGCATATTGGTCTCCAAATTTGAAAAAAAATATTTAAGCTTTTTTATTTATGGCAAATTTTGAATTTTGATTTCAAACTATTGGTAACTATTGGTAACTATTGGTAATTATTGGTAACTATTGGTATTTAATCCCTTTAAGAGTCCATTTTCCCATCAAAATTCATCAATTAACGATGTCAGTCGAATATACAAACACCCTGTATAAGCACATTCATTGCATCAGTTAAGTCCATGAATGCCTAATTCCTTATCCAACTATCTGAACACAGATGTTTTTAATTGTTTTAAAACTACTATTTTTGGTATGTTATGTTAAGAATGGGGTGTTAATACACTGCGACCTAAAAGATCTATTATGCCCTCTTCTGTCGCCAATGCACTAAGGAAATGTCTCAATGCCTATAACGACCCTTCCAATCCTATTTTCTCAAGGAAGTGTAGAATTTGAAGTGGCTTCAAGTTAGGTGAATCTCCCTCTTATATTTGATATCCTCCTAGATATAGTGCCCTTGGATTCTGGAGTGCTACACATTCAGTTAGGATGTAAATGGAGGTTTCGTCCTCCTCCTCACAGAATCTGCACTCACTATCCTCTACTACTCAGTTTACTTAGGTGTTCTTTTAGTCGGCAATGCCCGGTAAGGATCCCTGTTACAATACGTAGCCTGTTCTTGCTCAGGCAGATGCAGGCTTCCGATCTTTTCTGGTTATATTCACCCAGAAGTATCTTGGCCTGTCTCAGCCCCAAGAGATTGTTCCAATTATCGGTTCTTTTACTGCCCAAGTCTTTTTTAATCTCTCCTAATATTAAGTTACTGCTGATACCATAGAACGGCTCATGTCCTACAAAGGGTCTTTGAGCCCCTTTCCTTGCAAGACTATCTGCAATCTCGTTACCCTGTACCCCGTTATGTTCCGGGACCCAAGTGAGAGTAACTCTATTTTTCTCGCCTAGCTCATTCAATTGTTCTAGGCATCTCCAGACCATTTTTGAGATGATTACGTAAAAGCTTAGCGCTTTGATGGCTGCTTGACTATCGGACATGATGATAATCTCTTGTCTATGATAGTTTCTCTCGATGTTAAATTGGATACACTTCTCGATGGCGTGAATTTCCGTCTGGAAGATGCTTGGGTATTTTCCCAAGCTTTCGGAGTGCTTGGTTCTCGGCCCATACACTCCTATTCCAGTTCCTTCTATGGTTTTGGAACCGTCCGTATACCACTGAATAGCACGTCTTTCGGTTGCAAGCGCGATGGATTCTTGGCTCCATTCTTTCTTGCAGCCCAGCTCTGTGGACTATTTTGAGTAAATATTTGTCGCATCCATTACCCCTAATAGGATGATTTGGCTATTTTTCTTCGGTACAAGTAAAATAATTTCGCATTATCATTATCGCTAGCCGGAAACTTGCTGTTAATTACTTTTTGTATCCCGTCGGTATAAGAACGGTGCAAAATTTTCATTATCATTTTATTTTAATTTTGCTAAAAAAAAGCCATATAATTAGCTACTGCTTGGAGAAAATATTTTGAAAAATGTCTCAAGTAATACAAGTGGACACTACACCGCCGACTGAAAGAAGTAGTGAATTTTACACCGGGCCAAACGAAAGGTATAGTGTCCGCTGGTGTTGTTCATTCCTACACCAGTGGGACCAAGGAAAAAACCTATTGTCATACACTTATTGGAGTTCATATAATGTTGTTGATCTAGGTTCATTCCTTTTCAGATCACAGAGTTTTCTTTAAACATCTACATGTAATTATTGAGAAATATAAGTGAAGAAAAATTAAAAGATTTGTCTCAATGGAAATTTTTCGAGCTTCGGAAAATAATTACAATATATCTCTCCCTTAATTTTTTTTTGTTACTAGTTATTATTGACTAACCTACAATTTTAATCTAAAAATCTGATAAACTAATTACTTATCTAGGAAGTCCCCATTGTTTCTATAGGAAAGCATCTTAAGTTGGCGTGACGATTTATTACACTCTTTTACATTAGCACTAACATTAACGATAACTGCACTAGCTCTAATGGCTTCTTCCTTTTGAGCCTTCTGTTGAGTGTAAAGTTGTCCAGTAATTGCAGCGCTTCTTCGTTGACGTAGGAGTGGAGTCGACCTTCATGTTTCGCAGCAAATCTCTTTATTTCTTCTTCGATTGTTGGTTTCTTCTTAGTCTTTGGGTATCTTCTGGTGATCTTGTCATCTGCCATTTCTTTCTTAGATTGGTATGTACAACCAAGTTCTGATGCAGCTCGGTGCAATTCTTTTCCTTTGACTGTGGTTAATCTTTAAACCCAGTTGGTGTTTTTAGAGTTGTAATCTCCACCGATTATAAATTTGTTACCACTTGGGTTTTTGGATTTCGTATTTACGGATTTGTTTAGCCATTATTTGAATTATCGTTTAATTAATTCTTGCAAGTAGCTCACAGTTAGTTGAGACACATATTGTGTCGATTTATCACTTGTAAAATAAAAGCCCCTAAAATCTGTGGTAAGTTCAACCTGTCCATGTTTTACTGAAATCATATACCATTAATGTCTTTCTCTTGTAGACTTTTATTTATTTATTTAGTTATTTATTTGTTTAGTGATTTAATCACTTAATTATTTGTCAATTAACTTACCCCTTTGAGGATCGATCAGTTTTGTGGATGTATATCGACCCAATTAGAGCTCTCGATTTCCTACCGATATTCAGTTTACCTATCAGAGAACTACAGGCCAGGAATTCCTTCTGAGGCTTTGCCCCTCCAGGAGCGATCAGTCATCATTTCAGAGTCCTGAAATATATCCAGTTTTGGAAGCGAGACAACTAGAATCAGTAAGACGAAATACCATCCAGCCTACAAGTAAGGACTATCTTTTTCCTATTTTAATTTACAGTGAAAGTAATAGGTACTTAGCAATCATAACTTGCTACCTAAGATAAATATATACTATCAGATACAATTCAATCATAAATATATCTAAACTTACTATATTCTTGTGCAACTTATAGTACTATAAGGGGGAACATCAGGCAGATATTGTATCCATTATAAGTAACCCATGACGAACTTAAGTAACTATTTGTAGGGGATTATAACCCCAGGGTAAAACTGTGCATACCAACCAAATATACTAAAAGAGATAACTTATCAACAGAATATACTTTTATTTCCCACCCAACTCTCCGATTACCAATTTTATGAGCTAGCTAAAATTAATATAGTTGTCATCCCTTCTATCAATAGGACTAACCCTTTTTTAAGGTTGACAATTCAGTCAGAATTCCAGTGACTTTCTGAACACTCCTGGTATAAATCATTTAAAATATGTCCGCCAAAGATTCTAATTTATTGTCAAATGATGATTTTGTTATTTAAATGATAAAAACGTTATAATGAATCATTTTGGCATGCAAAGAATGCTGGATAGATTTTGATCTTATTGATTTCGGTTCCTTCTTCGAATGAGATGAATCGAAATATTTGATGAGCAATTTTGATTAATGGCCAACATAATTGGATTCCAAAATGATTATCAGTCAATTTATACGTTACAATACTGTTAATATAACTATTATTTGAGTTCAGTGCGAAGATAGATCCTGAATCTTTCGTTTGGCTGGTTTAATGATGTTGAGATTATACCTTATTATATTACAGGGTGTACCAAAAAGTTTTATAGAAATCGGAAAACCCAAGATAAAGCAAATTTGTAAAATAAAGGGAAAATTAAAAATAAGTTTCTTATCTAGTGAAAAGTATTGTAAATTATGTATTTCTTCTTTCTTTTAGTGGACTGTATTTGTTTTTAAATAAATTCACCTCTCTTCTAGTAACTTAAATTAAAAGCCGACATTTTACTTTTACAACTGTTTATTTAACTTTTAGAAACAATCACTAAAAAAGAGGTGAATTTATTTACAAATGCAGTTTATTTAAAGAAGGAATAAAAAATAATTTACAAGGATTCATGCATTTTATTTTCATTTAAGGAAATAAAAAATTTCTTACTTATAAAGAAGTGAATTTAATTTCTTTTTAATTGTCAATGAGGGACTTTTATACGAAGTCTTAACAGAAAACGACCTTTGATAAAAGGGTCATTGCTACTCTTTTGGATAATAATACAGGTGCTGAGATTCAAGGGATAATAAGTCATGAGGGTCGGTTCTACTTCACTATCACATAGGGGTACATTGAAGTGTGTAAAAACACCAAAAAAATAATATTTCATAGAGAATCCGAGATCTTAGTTGATAGGCATAAAAATGTATGAAAAATAATTTAATTGATGATATTTGTTTTATTTCATGCACAAATTGCTTATTATTATAATTCTTGTGTTATAATGTGATCATAGACCACGAAAAATTAGATTTAAATAACTAGTAAAAGTATTTTTTTATAGTCTTTAAAATTCTAACAAAATCTCTACGGTTTACTATTTCGTTTAATCTTTAATGGCATTCTTATTGATATTTGTGACTTTATTATAGTTTATTTGGGGATAGTTGCATTTTTTAATCCTTTTTAATTACCCAAGCAGCAAAAAAATGCTCAAAAGAGTTATATAAACAACTATATAACAATTTGTTATAAAAATTGTATATTTTAAAAGCATTTTATAGACGCTTATATGGTACTTATAAACACGGAAAAGGCGCAGGTTTATAAAATAAATGTGATTCTTAACAGTTTTATTAAGGGGTATAAAAGTAAGTATAAAACATTCTGGAGTATGTTATAAAATTTTTATACAACAATTTTTTAAAGTTATATTATATTATTGGAACTATCAATATACCTATAAACTAAGTTTGTTTCTGAAACTACTATTATATAATTATTTTATGGATATTATATATTTGTTTTATAGATATGGCTTACGACCATATTAAAATATTTAGAAACGACTTATAAGACTGTTAAACAACAATTTTATAATTATTTTACAATACACAGAATTGATTTATTCGCAACATTTAGATTTTATGCAACACAATGTAGTTTTACAATCGCATATGCCGTTTTAAATTTATATGGGAAAAGCGATTTAAAAATTGTAACTTCAAGGTCATCTGGAGCCCAAACGAAGCAACTTTGTACTAAGGTAATTTTACTTAAATCGACTTATTTTGGTCTAAGGAATATGTGGTATGTTTTTGTAAAGACCTTTTACAGACACCCATAATTACATATAAAATTTCATTATACTCGTAAGCGTGTAATAAAAATTGTTTTTAATTTTTATACATATCTGGAATATAAGTATAAAACACTTATGAAACACTTATATAATAAATTACACTTAAGCAAGAATAATCATATAAGGAGTGTTATATAAATATTTATAAGTCATTACATTGTCTTTTAAAAGTAGTCTTATAAAGTTTCTGAAAACGCCTATATTTTTCAAATTAAATTTTTATTAGTTTTTGTTCTTAATTTACAGATATATTTTTCATTATATTTTTAACATTGTTTAAAGAAATAATTAACAAAATAACTTTATTTTAAAAAAATGAGGTGATAAAATTTATTATTGTTTTAAAAAATTATAAAATTTGACTATATTTGGTAATGGTTTGGTTGATCCAGTCGGCAAAACTAGAAACCTGGGTGAATATATTTGGAGCTCCGTTGTAACCGCATGGGTCAACGTAAAATGTGGCGGTACCGATTACGGTTCCGTCTTGAGACAGAGGACCACCGACGTCACCATGGCAATTGTTTGATTTTTCGTTTAAGGTACACATGTTGCTGTCTGGATCTAAAGGACAAGATTCAGGGAAGATTTTTAGGACAGCTGCGGTACATTCTAAAACGATAAAAGAGAATGTATAATATATTTTATTTACTATAATTAACCAAAATGTTCAATATTCTTATTTTTATGCTTAAAGATACTTACCATCGTAAGGAATAAGCGTTAAATTGGGGGAAACTTGAAGTTGGTTAGTGGTACCGTAACCAACTACAACGGCTGTACCGTCGAATTTTTGGCCTTGCGTTGGCAATTTTGCTGGTTGTACTTTGTCGTTAAAGGTCAGTGCTTCAGCTAACTGAAGTAGAGCAATATCATATGGAGCAAGTCTGGAAAAAAATTGGTATTTTTTAATATACATTTTGGATGAACGTTTCAGGACAATCATTTAAAAGTCTTCTAAAAGAGAGTTACAAGAACTTACCCTGGGTTGTAGTAAGGATAAACATATGCATCTGCAACTTCAACGGCAACATTGTCTTCTCCCTGTAAGTTAGAATATCCAACAACAACCTGTTCAGCGTTTGTTGCATAAATAGCACTGGTCAATACCCAATTTTCGTTGACGATTACACCACCGCTAACGTGTTTGCAAACTGAATCACACCATTGAACGGAAGCTACGAATGGATATTCCTCTATTGTGGTATCAGTGCCACCTGCAATACTCAGGCGCTTGTTGGAGAGTTTGGCATTTGGTGCTCCTAAAAAAGTGTTAATTAAAAATTGAACCAATTTTAGAATTTATAGGGAAAATACAGTTACGCTGTACAAAGATTGAGTAACTCACGAAAGGTTAGGCAAGTCTGAAAATCTAGAAAAGACACTAAAAGGAGAAGAGGAAGAGCAATGCAAAACGTAAAACACTGTAATAGCTAATAGTTTAGTAAATAAAGGATTGAAAAGATCGAAAGCTGTAAAAAAATCGCTGATACGTAGTTCAATTTGTAGGTCATCACAGGTGTTTTTAAATGAGAAAATCCTTAACGCGTTTTTGGTACCGGAAGGGGCTGAAAATGGACCCTTAAACTCTGAAAAACGGGTTCCCCGCTAATATCTGGCTAAATATGCCAATTAGAGAATTTTTGTTCAGACAAAAAATGAAGATCAGCTCATTCTCTACAAAAATGATTCCTACCAATTTTTTCGCAATGCCAATATTTTTTGGAAAATCAGACTTGGATATTATAGCTTCAGAATTCTGTTATGCATTATGATGTTAAATAAAAAAGAATTTAAATATGTGAAATTTGCCAAAAATATTAAGAAATACTTACCATAGCACAATGCTACAGTCGCGAGAAAGATAACTTTAGCACTCAACATTTTGTTTCGTCTGACAAATTAATATTTTTCGCGGTATCTTATTTATAGGAATTTTTTATCGATGTAATTGACAGAATTTAGGAATTACATGTACATATATCTATGTAAATTTATGTTTAATTCTCATAGATAGCAAGTATTTTTAAAATGTGTTTAGATATTTTTTATCTAAATTGGATTAATATGAGTATTTGTACTTATAAAATGTTAAAGTTTCAGTAGATTCTGATTTTATTTCGTAATTTAATTTTTTTTAGGTAGGTACCTGATAAATTTCTTGTTGAATAAACTGCCTATTAATTTTTCGTCATTTACTCGCTATAATGGTGTCTTACCTAATTTTAAGCCTTGCCGAAAATTCACAAACCTACTTTATCGGTAAGACCTATTGCTACTTGTATTGAAGCTCCTACTGAATTTTTAGCTACATATATGACTGACATTTTAACTAAATCTTATGATTATAACAATGATTAGTGTATATATATATATATATATATATATATATATATATACCTTTCTCTTTCCTACCTTAACAGCTTGTTCAAAATAAATATATTATAATGTATACCTTTGGAAACGGTTCCGTTATCATCATAAAATGGTTAAAATATTATATCATTAGCTATTATACCAGGATTTTTTTGCGTGTTTTTAAAACTACCTAATAACCGTTTTCCTTATCCCCCTACTATTTCATACCATTCACAACGCTTCCATAATAGCTACTTACTCATGCCGAATGACCCAATAATCCAAAATTGCATCTTTTTTCTTATCTCCCTGTTTCAACGCTGGTATTGTGTCCACGGCCATAACGCAAACTCATTGTCGCACGGGCTCTAAAATATCACCAAATAGAGGAAAACGCAGAGATAACAGTTATTCGTATTTATATACGCATTATTCAGATTCCGGGGTTCTCATACAGGGTTTCCCGACGAAATATTTAATATTAGACCGGTCAAAGTTGATGCAACTCAATTTAATACTGGTTTAGTATGCTTTAATAACAGAAGAGGGTTGATATGCATGCTATGCGATTAATCTATTCCAATTATAAATCTGTCCAACACCATCAAAAACGACTATAATAAACCATTAAAGAAAAAATGTTTTACACATGAATATATTTCTTAAAATAAATAGATTGGCTTAAATGAAAAAAAAGTTCCACTAAGGCACTAGAACAATATTTTTAATTTTGTTGTGTTACAAAGTTTTCCTTTTCTAACTGGAGGGTTTTACTTGGGAGTCTGCGTAGGGGGACTGGGAGAGTCCACTGGGACCAGGCAAGGGTTAAGTAGATTCCTTGGGAGTGTAGAGACTAATAGGAGAAGCAGCTAAGGAGACTTCACTGGTAAGAGGCATAATATCAATTATTGATTCGTGCACCTAGAGAATAATAAATAAATATATATTATTCTAGAGCTCTTAAAAATTATGTTACGAAATATAATGATATAACAAAATTTACAGGTAATTCGTCATTGAAAAAGTGAAAGTTTTTAATCAAATACAATATAATTTCTGACAAACAATGTGGTTTTAAGGAGGGTAGATTAACATAAGATGATTCAATTGATAAAAAATATATATGAAAATATTGGCAAATTATGTATCTTCATTGACCTTACAAAAGCATTCGTCATGGTTAGAAATGTAAAACTGATTGATACGCTACACGAGATTTGTTTTAGAGATCAAAGCTATTAATTACTTTGAACATATTTAACAGAAAAATCAATCTGTTGTAATTCATAATATGGTTTGCAAAACCAAGAATGTTGATTGAGAACGATTTACCTCATATCTTTGAAAGGTTTCACCCAAGTAGTGGTACTAAATTATAAGACTTTCTCTATACATTTTTTTCCTCTTTATGTAAATACCTCACCTTTAGTTTATGCAAAACAAATTTTGATGCACATCACTAATGTCGTCATCAGAGATATACTTATTCATTCATAAAATAGAATATCCGTGATGCCAACAATAAAATCAGTCCACTTGTAGGCCAGGAGTGGAAAAAAGTGTGGTGTGAGGTAAGAGGGGGATATACTGGAAGACTGGAGGATCTGCCCAGCAAACATTTTGGTGTAGTTTGACGTCGATACTACCTAAATTATATATAATAAATTTGGTCGCAAAATTAGATTTAACCATAATTAAGTAAAATTTACGTTGGCTCGACGTGGATTCGACATAAGTGGAGAATAAGACGACGTCGAAATTTGGTTTTATTTACCAAAATAGGTAGAATTACATCCACATTGTAGTAGCCCAGTACGTTTTGTTAGTAATACCTCTCTAGGGAAATTTGACGTCAGTATAACGTTAATTCGACGTTGATTTAACTAAGTTTAGGTAGAAACTACCAAAATATTTGCAGATGACGTACGCCTCCAAGTGTACGAAAAGAAATTTTATACTTATTTGGTATTTTTATCTATATATAAGTAGAAATATTGTAAGAAGTCACCAACACAACTAAAACATATACCTAATTCACATGAAAGATTGAAAATAAATAAATGTCGGTGACAAAAATATATGTAATGTAATTGTGGTGAAATACAGTTCACGCTTGTTGAAATTAATGCGAAGAAAATTTTGTCGTGCATGTTAACAGTTCTACTTAGAAAAATAACAATGCCCTTCCAAAATACTCTCTAATTAAAAAAATATAAGAAAAAAATATGATCGTGTAAAAAAATAATAATAATATCATGAGCTAAAACTATGTTACGTTTGTTGTGTATCACTTTAGAAAATCAATAATGTTTCGTTTTTCGATATTTTCATTCGTATGTTTTAGTTATGGTCATTTTAAAAATTTAAAATTTGGAATCGTACTTTAATTACGTTAAGAAAATATGGCGTATTGTGCGAATTCGACCTAAAAGTTATTATGACTAAGGAAATCTACGTATTTTACAAATACCTTTTTACTAAGTTGAATTAACTTCAATTTCACGACATATTAGTTAACTTTACCCTATTTAAAGAAATAATAACTTATAGGTTTTATAAAAAATTTACCTATAGGTAAATGTGACATATTTAGGTCACGTTGTTCTGCACTTGAGATTTTAGACGTTTCACTTTACGATAAAAATCGAAAGTATAACGATATGATTTATTATTTTTCGAACTCATTTTATTAATTATTTTTCGCACTCATTTAAAGCTCTATCTACACCACACGTAAATTAAGATTACGACTGTAATGGTTTTTTTTAAATGGCCGAAATTCTTAAGAACAATGACGAAGACAGTAATTGAACAACCTAATTGTTAAAATAATCTAAATAATATAAATTTTACAAATAGGTCATGTATGGACTCTTTTTAAATTGGTGGTTTTTAGTCGAATTTACTTTGTGGTAGATTTTTCAGGTAATTGCTACAACAAAATTAATAAATATTTCTTCAAGATGACTTATAGGTCAACTAAATGAGTATTCGACTATTTGGTTGAAATTAGGTAGATAAACAGGTAGAATTTTGCTACGATCTCGACCTAATATTACTTTAAAGGAGAGTAAATAAAAGTGGCCAAATAGATTACTATGGAGGCATAAAATTACGTAGAATTTTTAACCAAATCTACCTAGTTGGATATTCTACTATAAAGACGATTTTTAGTTGCCAAACAGGTAGATATTACCTAAATATGGCACCTAATTTTACTACAAAGGAAATTTAACTTTGAAGTAATTGTTGGTTATTTTTTTTAGTAGTTTTTCCCTTGCTGATATGGTTAAAGTTACTTTTAAGCAGATTTGTGTAAAAGGTAGATTTCTTGGTATAATTTACGTAAATTTAAATATAAATTAAAGCCGTTTGGTAAATTTACATTAGAGGTATATTTTTCTAGTCAATTTTACGTAATAATTACCTCTATAAGTAAATTCGTCTTTATCAAAGTCGAGTTATAACTAATGTTATAGAAAATGTTTGCTGGGGAGAGCCCTACACATAACAGATTATAGTTTTAAGAGAGTATTTTTTTTAAATTAGGTTTTAAGTGTGGTTTCAGCAAAGTAGTTGATGGAAATTCTACCTGAATGAAATAGCTAAAAATTACAAGTAAAATATTTGTTCCTAAATGTTTTTATTTATTAAATTGATAGTAATGTTCTGAATTATTCGTAAAAAAATTGTTCCTATTTGAAATTACGTGCTAAATATTTTTTTGCTGTTTTGATAGAATAATGTTTATCCGCTGAAAGTAGTAAACTAAAGATTTAAAAAATATATTTAGAGGTTTTGCTTTTTATTGTGATTTATTTATTTAATTGATCCTAATGTACGGAATTATTCGTAGGTACGAAAGATTTTATTTTCAATTTTGTTATAAATATTGCATGGTTTGTGCTGTTTTGATAAAAAATTTATCCGTGTAAATAATTTTGCAAACAAAACAAAAATAATGAAATGGGTATGACAACAGCGTATATTATACCCACCATAAATAAATTTCCCCAAAATAAGTGTAAAAAATCTGTTAAATAGAATACTTATATTAATGCTTGCATCCGTTCCAATATTAGCATTGGACGCCCTGTATTTCTACACGCATTGTTCACGTTAGTGGGTACTATATACGAGGGTAAATCAGACAACCGCGAAACGGGTGGCGACCGAACGCTAATGGGCTTTAAACTACACTGGACGGAATGTGCATAGAACATGGATAATTTGTTGGAGAAATGCCAACGCCAACATGCTTTCCCTGTAATTATTAAAGTGTAAAAGTGTGTTTTCGGGAGTTTAGAGGCACCTATAATGTGTGGAAATTAACTAAAAACCTATTTTTTCTTCTAAATATTTATTTCCTGCCTCTGTCCAGTATGTATACTGTGCTTCTAAAATTATTCAGCGGTATAAGTATTGTTAAATTATTAGAAATATTAGTGAAATAAATGAAAGCACGATAGAAGAAAAATGGAGAGAGAGAGTTCGAAAAAATATTGATAAGTCAAGAGAAAGGCAAACCAA